GGGCTGTTTGCTCCTTGTTCTCAAGTTCTCCATTCTCCTTCGGGCGGCTTGCTCCGGTGTTCTCAAGTTCTCTAGTCCCTTTCGAGCGGTTTGCTCCTTGTTCTTAAGTTCTGTAGTTTCTTTCTTTAATTCTGTAGTCTGTTTCCCTTGATTTGGTTCTTGTTCTCAAATTTTTTAATGTCTTTCGAGCGGTTTGCCCCTTGTTCTCAACGTCTCTAGTCTTCGAGCGGTTTGCTCCTGGGTTCTCAAATTGCCGAGCTCCTTTCGAGCAATTTGCTTCTTTGTTTCAATATCTCTAGTCTTGCGAGCGGTTTGTTCCTTTGTTCAATATCTCTAGTCTCTTTCGAGCGGTTTGCTCCTTGTTTTCGAAATTTCTATGTCTCTTTGGAGCGGTTTGCTCCTGGCTCTAAAATTTTCCAGTCTCTTTCGCTTGGTTTGCTCCTTGTGCTCAAATTCTTCAGTCTCTTTGGGGCGGTTTGCTCCTTGTGCTAGTCTTTTTCGAGCGGTTTGTTTCTTGTTCTCAAATTCTCGAGTCTCTTTCGCTTGGTTTGGTTCTTGCTCTGAAACTGTCTAGTCGTTTTCGAGCGTTTTGTTGTGGGGAAATGATCCAATTTCTGAGGAGAGCTTTGCTCCTATTCCCCAAATTCTCTAGTCTCTTTCGAACGGCTTGCTCCTTATTCACAAATTCCCTAGTCATTTGCCAGTGGTTTGGTCCTGTTGCTCAAGTCCCTAGACTTTTTCGGGCGGCTTGCTCCTTGTTCGCGGAGTCTCTCGTCTCATGCGGGCGGTTTGCTCCTTGTGTTCTCAAGTTTTCTAATTTGTTTGGAACGTTTTGCTCCTTTCTCTCAAATTGTCTAGTCTCTTTCGAGCGGTTGCGCCTTGTGTTTTTAAGTTGTCTGGTCTTATTTGAGCGGTTTGCTGTTTGTTCATCTAATTCCAAATCTCTGTCGCTTGGTTTGCTCTTTGTTCTGAAATTCCCTAGTCTCTTGCGAGCGGTTTACTCCTTTTCTCGAGTTCTCTAAAGCTCTTCGAGCGGTTTGCTCCGTCTTCTCAAATTATCGAGTCTGTTGCGAGCGGTTTGCTCCTTCTTAAAGCCTCTAGTCTCTTTCGAGCGGTTTGTTCCCTGTTCTCAAATTCTATGGCCTTTTTTGATCGGTCAGCTCCTTGTGCACAAAATTTCTGGTCTCTTTCGAGCGGCTAGCTCCCGTGTTCTCAAACTCAGTCCCTTTCGAGCGGATTGCTCCTTGTTCTCAAATTATCTTTTTGTTGAGCGGTTTGCTTCTTTTCTAAAATTGCCTAGTCCCTTTTGCTAGTCTCTTACGCTGGGTTTGCTCCTTGTTCTGAAATTCTTCGGTTTCTGTCCCTTTGGTGCGCTTTGCTCCGTGTTTTTAGATTCTGTAGCCTCTGTCTTAAACTCTGCAATCTCTTTCGAGCCGTTTGCTCCTTGTTCTCAAAGTCTCTAGTCTCTTTCGAGCGCTTTGTTCCTGGTTCTCAAATTCCCTAGCCTTTTTCGAGCGGTTCGCTTAATTGTTTCAGTATCTCCAGTCACTTCCAAGCAGTTTGCTCCTTTTGCTGTCCGTTTCGAGCGGTTTGCTCCTTCATTTCAATATCTCTAGTCTCTTTCGAGCGGTTTGCGCCTTGTGTTCTTAAGTTGTCTGGTCTTGTTTGGGCGGTTTGTTTTTTTCTCGAATTCCAAACCTCTGTCGCCTGGTTTGCGCCTTGTTCTGAAATTCCCTAGACTCTTTCAAGCCGCTTGCACGTTTTGTCTAGTGCTCTAGTCTCTTGCGCTTGGTTTGCCCCTTGTTCTCTCCTGGGCCTTGTGCCCTTGTTGCCCTCGCGGGCCTCCTGCCCTTCGGAGGCTCCCGGTTCGGTGGCCGTTGGCAGACTGCCTCTCCACGCTGGGCTTTTCTTATTGTCGTCCTTTTCCTTTCTTTCTGCGTCTACCCTCCCCGCCCCTCCACTGACTCTCCTTTTCCTTCCCTTCACTTCCTTGCCCTTCCAGTCCTTTCCGCTGCCCTTCGTTCTTTTGTCTCGCTTCCTTTACCCTGCCCTTCCGCTTCCCTGTCCTCTTCCTTGTGTTCCTCTCTCCCTGTCTCTCTGTCTCTCCGTCACTGTCTGTCTGTCGCTCTGTTTCTCTGTCTCTCTTTCTCTCTTCCTCCTTGTCTGCTTTCTATCACCTCTGCTTTCCCCCGTCCCGCTCTGCCACCCTCTCTTTCTTTCCCATTACTTCTCTGTCTTACGTCTCTTTCTTCTTTCGTTCCTTCGGCCTTATTAGACCCCCAAACCCAGGCCGCAAAAAACCTTGTGCGGCCGGTTAGGTTGTTTTTTGCCTCCTTAAAGATTCTTCCGTTCCTCCGGCCGTAGTCCCCGAATCCAGGACGTGAAAAAAACCCTGTATGTCTGGTTAGGTAGGTTTTGTTTGCTTTTGTTCCTTCTGCCCTAAACTGTAGACCCCCAAAGCCCGGAACAACAGACCCCCAGCGGGAAAGTGAGCATGAGGAGCCTTTTCGGTATGTGAAAAAGCCCCACCCCTTCATTAATGTGTGTGTGTGTATATATACACACACACACGCACATACACTGACACATGCATGGAGCCTGAATATGCCAAGCACTTGGAACTATTGACGGGCACTCGTTTATGCCGCTGTGGCTGCTACGTCCTGAAGTCACGTCTGATTTGGACCAGCCTGCGGCTTGGTGTGTGAGGCCGGTGCACTTGAAGAAGGAAGAGGCTGCAAAGGCTCGAGCAGCAAACTTCCTCCTGTCGATGTCACAAGCTATCTGCACCCTGAGGCCTCGATTTTCCAGTTGCTGCTGCCACGACCTGGAGCAGGAGAGCTTTGTCGATCGTTTGCACAAGTACACTCGACGGTGGGCTAGTGCCACCATTCGTCGTTTAGGCGCTCTGCACGGAGGTGTGTCCTTGCCCGCTCATCATGTGGGGCAGTTTATGTCCCCTGGACTGCATGGTAAAGAGCGTCTAGTACACTGCAGCTGCTGGAAGCTCGGAAGGGGACTTCGCATATTCGGGGGACTGCTGACTGATTGCCAACGGCACTCAAGCTAGGATTTTCTAGTCTTGTTCTTGGAGTTCAGTGGCTTTGAAGTTAAGAGTTCCATCTCTTGTTAGCTGCTGGAGACGTTGACTGCACAGATGAGCCCTGGATTGTGTTTCCATTTGTCTTCTTGTTAAACCCACATGCGACACATGAAAGCGGTTTAGTTGAAAGCTGCGATGACATCTTCTGTACCTGCCATCGACACCCGAATTCGGGGAGACATGCTCTTGACCTGAGCTTGGGCGAATCAGTCGTGGCAATGACATTTTTGCAGTTCACTTCCTTGTCCTGTACAGTTCAGGTTCCAGTCTTCTTGGCTCGTTTCATGAATTCCTCAGCTCTTGATTTCCAGCACGCCTCTTCATTGCTACCCACTTTCGCGCTGAAGACCCATTGTTGCAGCGAGTCCGAGGCGGAGTTATCTTGCTTACGACGGCCTGGACCCCGAGGAGCTGACCCTGGAGGCCTCGAGGTTTCCGCTTTTCAAAAGCTGAGCCTCGGAGCTCTGAGACCGCAAAGTTGGCGTTTTCTGCTTGGTCTTGGCGTTTTCAGGCCCCCCACGCGGACGATCCCGTCCGGCTCACTGGCTGTATGCGACACGTCCTCATTCGGCCAGAGAAGCTCAGGCGGGATGCTACCTAGCTCCTTGGTGCAAGACCGAAATCATCACGAAAGAAGAATACGGGAACTATATGGAACTATCGTCTCTTAACTCCCAACCCGCCTCGGCCCCAAACTGTCCAATTGCACCGCAGTTGGTATTTGGAGCCCAACGTTGGCATTCCTGAGACCGATTGGGCAGACCAGCCTGGGACGAAGGCCAGAAAGGGGCTTTGAACTCTTCGGTGTTTAGGGTTTAGAGGTGGCCTCTCACCAGGCAACCCAAAGCAACCAGTTTGGCGGCTGTGCGCGTGCATCTCCGTGGCCGACCGGATGCAAAGATTGTCATGGCTTCATCTCTGTCCGTTTTACTTCTCGACGCACTCGAGAAATCCCGGGTGCTTATTTCTTGTATTTTATTGTGACATTCGCGGCAGACTCTCCACCTGCCTGCATGCGTGGATGCACGCGTGAATACCCATGTTTTTTGCACAAGCTATGATAGAGCCCTTGCCACTGTAACGATGGCTTTTTCTTTCTTGCAGCAGGTAAGCCGTGCAGTGAATCATTTTGCCCGTGCCCGCGCCAAACATGACCTTGATGAGCTGCTGGCTTAAATCCTCTTGCAATCTGCGGCTGGGAGGTTAAGCGAGGCGCTAATTTCGAAGGAAATTCGATCCCGATCCTTTGGTGTTTAGCAGAGCCGGCTGAGGTCAGAGTCACTGGTGCTGGACTTTCAATTGGGTCCTGGACAATATGCCACTATGGCAATGCGGGAGGTCGGCTCAAGATCAGCCATTGCAAATATGTGAGCTCTTTGTGGGTCAAAAGCAACAAAAAGCAAGCGCTCCGCAGGTCATGCGACGACGGCCGCCGAAGGCACCGCGTCATTTGGTCTTCAGCGACAGCGAGGCACCGGCTCCGGGAGACTCGACCCACGGCTGGTACTGTCCCTCTTGACCGAAGGAGGAGCCTCAGAGTCTTCATGAAAGCCCGGAAAAATGGAGCTCGTTGCGAGGACTTACGTATGTGTGACTTCTGCGAGCCCTTCCCCCTGCTTGCATAGCAGATTGCGACTCAGCGCAGAAATAGCTCCATGTCGTTATTTTCTGTCGATGTGCGTAGGCCCATGCACGCATGTCTTTCCTGTACCAACCACGACAACATCGCGCTTGGTGCACGATCTGCGCGGTAGCCGGCAAGTGCTGCTGATTTCTGTTCATTGGTGTCGCTGATGTCCTACATGTTTGCATTCATATCCCCTTTCGTGGCTCAGGCGCGCTCGCAATAACGCAGCGCGATTTTTTTGGAGTTACCATTTTATCGCGTTTCTTTGCCATGCCAAGCAGCTCAACCACTGCATGCTGCTTGGATTTGCAAGAGTATCCACAAGCCTTGCCCCAGAAACAGCATGGCCCAAAAGCCTTCCATGCGCTTCATGTCATCGTTCCGAGAATTCTTGCTCTGTTGTAGAGACGAGAGGCAGCAAGCTTTGAGACAGAACGAACTACAAACTCAAACTATGGATTGAGACACGAGAACTGCCATCCGTGAACACTCTTTGCAGCCAGCCGCAAGACATCGGACACACAGGCCTCGCGGCGGCTGCCGTGGCGGGTCTCACCGTTCCCACCTTCGTTCCTGCCGGAACTCAAGGCGAGACGAGACCAAGCACGAGCTCCTTAAGAAAGACTTTTCGCAGCGTCCAGGTAGGGAGAGCTCGAGAAAGCTTCTAATGCCTGATATGCCTGCAGGTCTCCGCAGCCCCCAGGTGCAATCTGCACGAGGCTCCCAAGCCACAGGTCGGACTGATTGCATTTGTCGGAAAGTGATGCGATACAGCATGTTTTGGCTCCACGCAGGTTCTTACAGCACTGGTGCAGTGGTTGGTGCAGCTGCCGTGGCTGTCTTTGGCACGGTGGCGGCGCAGCGCCCGGCTCGCACGGCACAGAAGGCAGACTCTGGCAGTTCCCAAGTAATCCGTGGCCGCTTGATACAGCAAAATAGGAGTCTTAGCATAAACCACTTCGTGCGCTCATTTGGCCTAGACTAGACGGCACAGATCACCAGGCCGCCCGCCGCGAGCTGGCTGTGGCGTACGAGGATTCCGGGATTGATCTGCTCGACAATGGCACCTCGATCTCTCTCAAGATTCTTCAGTTCATGGAAGGAAGCAGGAAATAGCATCGAGGAAAGCTGGCAAGATTTGAGACTACATTATCACTAGCAGTTGCTCTCGCTGGTAGCACAGCGCGTGCGGCTTTGCCTGTCTGAGGCAAGTTCGCGCAGGGCCTGGTGG